TTAATCAATAGATGCTGATTCAAGAAGAACTTCAAGTGTATCATCATTTACCAGCAAATTAATTGACAGAAGCTGCCTTCATAATAAACGTATGAAGATTTTTTCACGAAAAAATTTTTCAAAAACCAGTGTATGAGAACAAAGAAGTGTTGCGTATCAGAAACCGATAAATCAAGCAGTGTTCATCGGTTTATCCCAACCAAATTCATAAACTACATGATCATGTTTATGAACGTCTTATCAGAAACAGTCGATATTACACTTATTTATGACAATCTGCTGTCAAAAAGCGACGAAAACGATTGTTACCTGGTAAGTTAACTGAACGAAATATTCATAAACATATTTTTAACATATAGAACAACATAATATATTAACAAATAAATCAACAATTGATTTGTGAATAATCATAGGACAATTTTTAACTAATCTAATCTTTTTATTTAGTTATAGATGTATATCATTTGTTGAATTTTCTACCATAACAAGGCCATCATCGGAACATAAATATAGATATTTGAACAAATGGAATTTTATTTTATTTTAATATTCTCATAAGATTTTGTATGATAGCAATGATGATATGGTTTATTTGTCGACGACTTGTATCAATTATATCACGTGTATGATCAGGATGATCAACAATAGAACTTGTACCACCATTTATTGATTTAATAATATGTGTTGTTGTATCTCTGAATAGAGAACAGATATATGTATCATGCCACTAGTTGCTATTGAATTTAAACATACATGAACTAATTTTTTAATAAAGACATGATATACATCTATAACTAAATAAAAAGATTAGATTAGTTAAAAATTGTCCTATGATTATGCATAAATCAATTGCTGATTTATTTGTTAATATATTATGTTGCTCTATATGTTAAATATATGTTTATGAATAAAAACTTTCCATGTCTTTATTAAAAATTAGTTCATGTATGTTTGAATGAAATATTGTTTTATAAGTTTTTAAGCAGATTATGTCGTAATAATATACTGCCGTTGAAAAATCCTATTTCATTTGAGAAAGTTTTATAAATTGTAAAATGTAAAGAAATTCTACCGGGTGTCCGAAAAGTCATTAAACAAAGAAAATTTTCTATATCTTGAAGGCACTTCGATCTAATGAACTGATTTCTTTTTGCGAGAGTAGACAACAAGTTCAAGCTTTTTTTCATTGAATAAACAGCCAATTCATACGCATAAAAGTAGCTGACTTTTGTTTACTATACTAGTAAACAACGCACAAACGTTTTAAACTCATAGCTAGAGATCGAAATTATAGGATATTCTTTTATATCTTTTATCAAATACTATAACTGATGTATATATACTTGTGTATTAGTCTGTTTGCTGCATGCTTCAAAAGGAAAAAAAGGAAATGAGACAAACGTTAACCTTAGTGAGTGATTTCATTTTTAGAACAAAATCACATATCAAAACCATCTACAGATGATAAATAAACTTCCATTAAACCACTTTGATACTATAGTGAAAAAAAATTTGTTGCTTTTATAAGTATGAATGAATTGTTCATTCATGAATAAAAGCTTGATATTGTCCTCTACCCTCATAAGAAGAAATCAACTCATTTGATCGAAGTGCGTTGAAGATATTCAACTTTTTTCGTGTTTAATGACTTACTGGACACCCTATATATTAAACAAAGAATAGGTTGTCTATGTGTTGCTTGGGAAGCAATTAAGTTTTGGCAAACGAAAAATAACTTGAAAATGATAAATATAGAATTTTCTTTTATCGTCAATTATCACATTGACGTATTTATTCAGTGATTTACTTAATTGTATAGTAATAAATATATAATTTCTTAAAGTAATATATCGGATCTAACAAATGATGTAAATGATAAGTTTCCTAGATTAGTTCAAATACATATAATTATAAGACAATATTCAGACAAAAAAGATTTAGGTTTTATCAAGAAGAACTGTAGTTTGTCTGATATAGTTTTATTTATATTTAGACTATATTTTGTTAACGCATTAAGTTTTATTCAACGGCGAATCGTGGCGCTAGTGATCATGCATTTCAAATCCGTTTTCATCATTCCAGTAACATATCTAATGTTGTCGTGGCATATAACTATTGGTCACATAAGAAAATATGGTCATATGCGTGCCTAATCGTGCACTACTTCTTTGAAGGTCTTTTATTTTATGTTTTTCAAAACCACTACAACAATGTTAAAGTTTTCGGAATTCTCATTACGAGTGAACTCAAAAGTTCCTATATCTTAGAAAAATACACCATTATCACTTATGACGGTGCTTTGAACATAACCAGATTGTTTTATATTTTCCACAGTAGTGTTGCAATTTACATTACTCATAAGATCCACCTCATTATCTGTATGGACTTTTGTTTATTGGTATATAATGCGAAACAAAAAAAAGTAGCCTCAATCATAGTTAAAATCATTGACTATAACAGCAACTTAATTTGTCAACAGTCGATGTTTATTATAATTTTATGCCGGATAATAATTTAATCTTCGCAATAAATGATTATTTGAATTAGTAATATTTTTGATTTTAAAACGAAAGTATTAAGGTAGAACTGTATTGAAATTTTTTGTTATATAGCTAAGTGAAGATGATTCTTTTATCCTAGCTTCAAAATATCAGTAAGAGAAAGAAAAATGAATAATACCATAGCATAGCACAACTTTTCAATAACCAAATAGAATAGGACCATTCAGTGTTCTATTATATAATTAGAGCATTAACAAAAGTGCTTTTTCTTGAAAAAACAAAAATGTGTTTTAAGTTAAGAACAACCAGCCATCCATCTAAAGATCTAAAAAAAAGCACTTTGATATATATGTATTAATTGAAGTTTAAATAAAATAGATTTAATTAGTTTATCACAAGATAAATTATTCATATTTTTGGGTTACCGACGGTGTACTAATAAGACTTTTGTCGTTGAGAAACATCCACTTGATTCTGACCGATGTACCTAATGCATTTTTTGTCCATTCACGTGGGATTTTGAAACTGACTAAAGAAGATTTATATCAACTGCATTCATAGGTAAATTCTATCGAAGTCATAATCATAAATTACACCAGATCGTGATTAAGTTATTTTTGATAAACCTTTTCCGATTCATCTAATTCAGTGTTTTTCTTTTATGATTTAATTTTTTTTACTTTTGTTCGTGCGTCTTTTGAAATAAAAATATCTATTGTTGTTTTTTCAATTCCTGCTGTTTTTGTAACAAGAAAATGATCCAGTCGTATTTGAATACACTCTCAATGCATGAATCAAATACATTTTAATTACATTGTTATAGTTCTTACAAATATGCTGCATTCCCATGTCGCTCGGGCCGACAAAAAAACGATCGGTTAATCGTCGTTTATCTTTCAGTCAACTGGGAGGTTACTCGTTCGATACGTCGCGGTCAACCGATAATTTTCTCAGTTAACCACGGTCAGTCGGCGGTTAAGTTTGATCAACCGACTGAAAACGTCGCATTGAAAAATTAAGCCACATTGTATATGAACAGTGTATGCCGAATCGAAAAAATCTAAATCACTGTGAAATTTCCTCAAAAAGTCAAAGAATGCTCCCAAGACTTCTATCTGATTGTTTTTAAATGTAATAAAATAAATAAACAAAACCGTAGGGTGACCGCGGTTGACGATCGCTCAACTGCATTCTACTATCGATTAACCTTGGTTCACTGTCGGTTTTGGTTAAAGCTACCAGCTATCAACGGTTGTCATCAAATAAGACGACATGAGTTCATACTATTGTCCGACACTTGATGCAAGTCTACAAAACTGTAGCCATGCAAGTGATGAAAGTTCAGTGTTTGGATTGAAAATAGCAAGAGATTGTAAATTACTCAGTTTTGTTAATTTATTTATTTTCTTCATATGACTCTGATTGATAAAGAATCGATGGCTAAGAAGGATAATACTGACGCATTGTTGCTAATGCAATTATCTAATGAAAGGATGATAACAATGAAGCTGCAGACAATAGATTGTCTTTATCATTATTTCTATGCTCTTTACTATTGCGAAATTATCCAGTAGTGATAGTGAAACGAGTTTAAATTAGTAACAAAACTTTATTTTATTTTTATTTTAGAATAATTTCATTTTAATTTTACAACTTTCATTTATACAAAATTGAAAAAGGCATTGTTTTCAATGATTTATTCTGTGAATATTTGCATTTATTGTCTTCCTATCTCACCAATGTAAATGAAGTACTGCATCAGTGAAGATATGTCATGAAAACGAGGTATTCGTAATCAGCAGACATATTTTCCTTGTATAAAATCCATTACATATTTAGTAACAATTTTGAAAATGTAAAAGTATTGGTTTATAATAAACTAATCACTAACTCAATACGTCTTCAACATATAAAGAACATGATCTCATCTCTATCTAACTATGAATCTACTTGATCTAATAAATGGAAATATGTAAATTCATTTGAATAAATCAACAGATCAGTGCAATTGACCCGTGCGAAAACATCCTTGTATTAAACAGCCCAAGTATTAATATTCGGCAGCTCTTGTTTTGATTCTTACCAAAGTTAAATGTGATCGTATCCATACAAACCAACAGGTACAACTATAGAGATCAGTATTCAAATTGAGCCTAAGAAATCTCGTTCTCTGATACCCATGTGAAACTTGCTGTCAGTTTTATATTTCACCTTGAAGTAAAGCGTTAAAAAAGATAAGAAACTTCATGTCCTGAAGAGTCAGTTGTGCTTCTAAGCTATCTGATTGTTCTGTAATGTGGATCTTTTTTATGCGATATTCCTTTTTATTTTGTCGAAAGAGAATGATTGTATGATATTGAAAAGAAATGTTATTATTATAAATCGAAAAAAAAACAAGCAAAAAAATAACTTGACAAAAAATGAAACAAGAAGAAAAATTGCTGGTTACTTCTATCCTCTATACAAATAGCAAAATAGATATCAGATGATAATATTTTGTCAAGCTTCGCCTTCACGTTGAAGTGTTGTTGTAGGCAATGCTTTAAGTGGCATTTTTCTACTGACAATTGGTGGCAGAGCAGTCGACAGTTTAATCGCTGGTCGTGATGATGTAATCTTATTCAAATCCGTATTTTCTGTATTATTATTGAGTAACTGACGTTGACGTTTTGTATATAATTGTTCATTATGTGACTCTATACTTTTCGATGAAATTAGTTGCAATTGTTGTTGAGGAGTTGGTGGAAGTCGTCCAATAAACAACACTTTTGTTAACTCTTGATCAGAACTAATTTGATTACTCAGGGATGATGAACGTTTCGATATATGACGACCGGTTGACAGAAGTTGTTGCTGTTGTTGTTCATCGTTATATGTTAATTTAGTTGGTTTATTAGGTAAAATAATTTGTCCAAGATGAATACGATTTCGTACCTTTTTTTGATGTTGTTTTTCCTGATGTAGTTTATTTGTAAGTTGAGCTATCAATGTCGAACGTTCTTCAAGTTCAATTTTAAGTTCTCGCTGTTTATCATATTGTTTATGTAATTCTAATGCATGTTTACGTTCATTTACAATAAGACGATTGTCATAATCTTTCAAAAGTTTGTCTTTTTCTTCTAAACGTTTATTTATATCTCTTACTTTATCTTTATATTGATACAATTCATTTTCAAGTTCTTGAACCGTTTTTCGAAGTTTACCTTCAATTATTTTAAATAATGAAAGAGTTATAAGCTTTTTATTTTATAGTTATTACTTACTATCATCTGTAGAATTAATCACAGTACCATTAATCGTTAATTGAAAGTTCAGATCTTAAATGATTATGATACACGTATGAAACGAAAAACAAATGATCGAACATTATACTAACCACTACATTTCTGTTGCCATTTGTCGACCTCTTCATGAAGATTACCCAATGTTGATGCATGCTCACGTTGAAGAAATATTATAGACTTTTCAGCGTTTTGAAGTCGTTGAGTTAAAATACTAGTATCCGTTGAAAGAAATTTTTTGTCAGACATCGATCGAATCTACAGAAATCAATGAACATAAATTCGGATAAAAATGATAACAACTAATTAATAGCATATTAAATATTTTTTATTATTTTTTCAAATTTTCTCTTGATACAAGAATGAGCAAGAAAACAAACTGATTGTTATCTCATTTATCGTCTTAAACATTATTCATTGCGTATAAAATCGTGGTGTATAAAACACATAGTAAAACAAAGAACCATAAGAAAAGAGAACAAAAAAAGACGAAGAGAAAGCAATGCTTATAAAAAAATTTCAATGCTTAACGATACGTGTTAAACAGGAATGCTGGTAAAAAAAATTCAGACTTTGCATGTCGTCGCACGTAGCAGGATAAGGAAGGCAACTGATTGCATCGTCATGCAGGCACTTGGTAGCGATAAAAAAAACAACTTAATAGAATTAATAATTTTCTTTGTCTTTCTTTCGCAACAGATCAAACAATAGGATTTTTATGTATGCAAGAGAACCAATAATGTTCGACAAAAGTTATATTTTTAATCTATTAATATATTGAAACGATTCTTTCAGAAAAAAATGATTTAATTATCAAAAAAATTCCAACTAGAATTTTTTTAATGAATACATCTTTTCAAAAGCTTCTACTAATGAAATATTCCTTTTTATTTATTACTTACATACGGGTCTCTAATGATTTTATAGCATTAATGAAATAGAGTAATAATATTAGTTGATGGATAAACGACTGTTTTTTCTATGCATATTGATGCTAAGAATTCTCCACATTATCACTTATCAATGAACATAAACTGGTTTAGATATATTGTGTGTTTAGAAGAAAACATATTTTTATTAATGTACTTTCATTTTATTTGCTGAAGCACTTGTCGATCTTTGCTGTTTTTATTTTTGTTGATCAAATTCATCAAGTAGTTGATGTTGTCGTTCTCAATTTTCCAACTATTGAAGAACGAAGTTTAATTCACTTGACTATTTTGTATTCAATTGAACAAAGGCAGAAGAATTTACTATTTTCGCAAAGACATATGAAAATTGTTCAAATTTTTGTAGTTTATTTGAAATTTGAAAAAAATTCTTTTTATTTAGTTGAAATATTCAAACTAGTTGTTTTTTTAGTAGTTCATCAAGAATTTGAAATTGTTTTATCATCACTAACGAATCAGTTCGGTTTGTATTTTGATTAGAAAAGAGAACAATAACAAAAACATCATTACTAAATTGTCTATTGACATTCTCACTTATTTGTCTTGGAAATTTTTCATTAAGATTATGTTTCATTCATTCGTTGTTTTAACCTTTCATGTCAAATTGTAAAAGTATATGTGACATACTGTTATCATGTTTCATTTAGAATTTATTGAAGGAGATACTGCTCTCTTCCTTTTCTACATTTTCTCAGGATAGACTAGATAAAAAAAAATGTGAAACTTTCAAAACAGATATATCTCAATAGGTGAAGTAAAAGTTCTCTTTTCCCACAAAAATCCATACTCCATTTTTTTGAGCTGCAACTTTTTATAACAACTAGGATCAAATCGGAGTGCATATTTTTATTTTCTTTGAAAAATATTGCTCTTAGAGCTCAGTGGAAGCAGAATACTGGAGTTATAGTCAAAAACCGGTTTTTCTTCTATGGTGCTATCTTTTTAAAGGCTAGTGAATTTCATAAGAACAACATTTCCAAGAATAAAAAAAAACATGCACTCCGTTTCACGAAAGTATTCATAAGAAACTTTGACCCCGATCGGACGTACCGAATCGAAGAAAAAGGCACAAAACTTTGTTTTATTGCTCAAAAGTTGATTTTGAAAAACATACAACATAAGCTTTCTTGGATATATTAGAACTTTTTTCTCCAACTAAAACGACCGAAAACTGACCATGTTTGCAGCACCTTTGGAATGAGAAATAGTCATTATCATTCGGAAAATTTTCATACAAACAATAATCACAACACGAATTTTTCTGCTCGGATTTCGAGAGTTGGATTTAATAATATTACTAGAAAACAAAGAAGAGCCTTCATTCATATGCCATTTGATAGAGGACACTTGAAGGCTATATTAGCTTTGAAATTTCGAAAACCGAAAAAAATTTAACATACGGTAGAGAAGAAAAAGCCTCTTAACCCTGAAGAGTTCAATGTTCCTTCCAACGAACATTAGAATAATTTCAATAAATTCCACTACAAGAGCTAATATGCAAAAAACCAACATTTTTCTGAGCTGACATGTCCTTAGTAATCATAGAGAGATGAAAATATAATTCTCAAGTGACTTCTAAGCCGAACAATGAATCTTTTACGACTTGTCATTTTTTTAGCATCACTTCTCTTTTCTGAAGTTTTTTTTTATTCATATAAACGACGTGTGGCTTTGGTTTTTTAATTGATATTGTTAAACATAGTGTTAAAATATCTGATGAAATCATCTCGTAAATTTTAAACTATTCCACTAACGTAGGACACTATCATAAAGAAAATGTTCCTTCTATGAGATATTCCGCCTCAAGAAAAAATCGAAACAAAAGAATTTTGACTTGAAATTTTGCTCATAAATAGCTAATACGCTATTCAGATTACTGTGAAATGTTCAGCAACAACTGCTGTTTACTCTTGGAAATGCGACATGTTGAAGAGAAACCGAATTTCATGAGTATTTTGCAAAATGTTGCCGATTTTTTTCTGCGTCCAATATCTCAACAACAAAGCATCCATTTTGACTGAAAATTTCAGGACAATTTAAAGATCATATAAATTGATTAAGAGCAAAATTTCAGATTGAAATTCCTTTCTTTCAGGCTTTTGAAAGGTTCAAGATTTCTGCTAAAGGATGCTGTGTAACTCTAGAGGAAGAACAATGTACTTGGTTTTAGCTGTAGTATGAGCGTACTGAGGGTCCATCAGCTCTATTTTTATGGTTGTCTTCCTTCTATTGCAAGAAAAACTCCCCTGTACTTTTAAGGATTAATACAACTTATTATTTACTCGAATTGACGAATAATTGTGTGACCACCTAATTGTAATTTTGTCCAAATTTAATCGAATAATCAGAAACTTGAAAAATAAAGATTACTATAAGAACCAATTTGGAAGATTTTAATTAAAAATAATGGTGTATGTTTTTTTAAACTTTTATTCAGTTCAATAATATTGAATTGTTGTTTTTTATTTAACGAGAAGTCTAGAAAAAGACTTTTTTATGTAATTTTTTTAAGGATAAATGAAAAAATTATTCTTATAACTGTCTTAATCATTTATTTGTTTTTTTTTTATTGAGGAAAACTATTTAAAAATTTGATTATTAATTCTATTTAATATGTTTAACTTATTGAATGAATTTTTCTTTTCAGCCATTTTTTTATTCTCCATCGCTTGGCAACAACAAGAATTGAACAAAGTGCATTACTGCTAAGAGTCACTAGAGACAGAATAATTTGAGTATCTAGAGAAATAAAAGAATTGTTACATCGATTTTACCTTTTTTTCAAAAATATTGTCATACATAATTTTCATTCGTTCAGGATGAATAAATCAGGTTGCTTAGTGATATCATAGAGTACAAATGGATTAATGGTTTCGATTTGTCTTTGATAAGCAACAAGTGGCAGACAAATTCCATAGCAAACAAGAAAAAAGAAGAAATAATGCCATCAACAACAGTGACAGGTAAACCATTGATTTACTCTTGAGTTTTTTTTAATGGATTGTATTATCAGATAATACATCAGGTGATACAAATCGTCAAAAGTTATTATTATCTTCTCGTGCTTGGGATACATTAGCTACTGAGTATGATAATTAGAGCCTTCTTTTTTTTTCTCTTACATTTATTTTGATCTGTTTCTTTTAAATATAGTCGAAATAATCTACGCAGAAATAATACAAATTTATCGAAGGTTACTAGTTTAGAACGAGGAATTAATACACGTCCAGGTGGACATACAGATCGTAGTCGACGTGGCGGTCATGGAAATCATGATTCAGAAGAGTCGAGTGAAGGAGAAGATGATGATGAAGAAGAAGATCAATTAGTTGAACGAACACGTCAAGATCAAACTGACTTACCATCAGAATATTGGCAAATACAACGATTAGTAAAATATCTCAAAGGTGGAAATCCAACTGCAACTGTTATTGCATTATCTTCCATTCGTGATTTTAATTTATCAATAGAAATATGTCAATTAGCTATACGTGATGTTGGAGGTTTAGAAGTTCTAGTTAATTTACTTGAAACAGATGATATTGATTGTAAAGTATGTATAAATATTAAATTTTCGATAGAAAATATAAGATAAAATTTTAAATCATTTAAATTTTATTTAGATTGGTTCATTATATATTCTTAAAGAAGTTTCAAATAATCCATCTATACGTCGAAATATAGCTGATCTTGGTGGATTACAAACAATGGTTAAATTACTTGATGAACCAGAAAAAGATTTAAAATGTCTTGCTGCTGAAACAATTGGTTAGATTTCTATTAAAAATAAAAAAAATGAGAAAACGACCAAACTAAATGTTTAACATTATTTTTTAGCTCACGTTGCCAAATTTAAACGAGCACGTCGAGTTGTTCGACAAAATGGAGGTATTAAACGATTAGTAAGTCTTTAGTTTAGTCGATAAATGTTACTAAAATATTAAAAAAATTAACAACATGTAGGTTGCTCTTTTGGAAAATGCTTCTGTTAGTGGTCATGGATCCACTACTCATGCTGCACATAATGACCAGGCAAAAAATATTGAAGTTGCTCGCGCAGGTGCATTAGCTCTTTGGAGTTTAAGCCGATCGAATCTTAATAAAAATGCTATGCAACGTGCTGGTGTTATTCCACTTTTGGCTAAATTACTAAAAAGTTCTAATGACAATATGTTGATTCCTGTGGGTGGTATTATAGAGGAGTGTGCTACAGATGTATGGTTTGAATTAACACTATTTGTTATTAGGAAAATAATTATTGTCTTTTTTTTAAATAGTCTGTTTATCGAACAGCAATTCGAGGTATGATTCCTGATCTTGTCAAGAGTCTAACAGTTACCAATGCTGAATTACAAAAACATTGTGCTAGTGCTATTTTTAAGGTTAAATTAAAATAGAAGATTTTTATTCATCTGGCAAAAAAAAACAGTACTGTTTGTTTTTTTAGTGTGCCGTAGATAAAGAAATACGTGACCTTGTAAGAAAACATTCGGGTCTTCGTCCTTTACATGATCTTTTACAACAATCTGAAAATAAAGCTTTACTAGCTGCAGCGACGGGTGCCATTTGGAAATGTGCAATATCTCGTGAAGTGATTTTTATTTCTTATTATATTATTCTTTTATATACGGTTATTTTTTTCCAATATTAGAATATTGCACAATTTCAAGAATTTCGAACAATCGATGCACTTGTACAATTACTTAATAATCAACCAGAAGAAGTCTTGGTTAATGTTGTTGGTGCATTAGCTGAGTGTGCTAAAGAAGCAGATAATCGAACAACAATTCGTAAAGCCGGTGGAATATCACCGTTAGTTAATTTATTAACAGGAACAAATCAAGCTTTGTTAGTAAACACTTGTCAGGCATTACGTCAATGTGCTGAGGAACCTGAAAGCGTCACGTAATTACTTACATCTCAATCTTCTCATTATGCTATCTTCGTGATGTCTGTTTAGAATGATTGATCGTTTGGATGGTGTACGATTATTATGGTCACTTTTAAAAAATCAAAATCCACAAGTACAAGCTGCAGCTGCTTGGGCTATATCACCGTGTGTGAAAAACATAAAAGTTTGTTAGAATATAAAATATCAGTCCGAGTTTCCTTATATCTATTTAAATATTATAGGATTCAGGTGAAATGGTACGAAGTTTTGTTGGTGGCCTTGAATTGATTGTATCATTATTAAACTCAAACGATGTTGAAGTATTAGCAAGTGTTTGTGCTGCTATAGCTGAGATAGCAAAGGATGAAGAAAATTTAGCAGTCATAACAGATCATGGTGTTGTTAAACTACTTTCAAATTTAGCTACACGAGTAAAAATTCTTCTATTTTGAAATTTATTGATTGACTTGCTTCTTATTACTTTAATAGAATGAAGATATACTTCGTCGTTACTTAGCTGAAGCTATAGCTGAATGTTGTAAATGGGGAAATAATCGACAAGCATTTGGTGAAAATCACGCTGTAGCACCACTCGTTAAACATCTTAAATCATCTGATCCTAATGTACATCGATCAACAGCTAAAGCATTACATCAATTATCAAAAAATCCCATGAATTGTGTTACAATGCATGAAGCTGGTGTTGTTCGAGTACGCTTTTTTGAAATTGAAAATATATTTCCGAAGATTTTTTTGTTTTCTTTTTCAATTTAGTTATTGATGGAAATGGTTGGTTCAAAAGATGATGTACTTCAAGAGAATGCTGCTATTTGTATTTCATATATTCGACGATTAGCCTTGGCTAATGAAAAATCAAGAAACGGTTGACACTATCCTCTTTATTTATGTATGGAAAAAACAGTGATACAAATTTGTACTAAGATTGATTTTGTCTAATAAAACTTTATAATGCTTTAAGGACTCAATAAAAAAAGTAAAATTTTTTTCGAAATGATTCTTAATCATTGACTTACAGCATGACATCTTATCACTGTGTTTATCAATGTTACGCTGGAAGCCGCAGGAAAAAAAATAAAAATTCTTATCGTTTGAGTCTATTGTTGACATAACTCTATCTGAAGTATATCATATTAGCAACTTTAGTAGTTCAGGTTGATCATATATATATTTAATTTTGATATCAATTGTTTGAATATCTGATCGAGATCCTCATAACATAGGTAATAAATTATTTCTCAATGAAATAAAAGTACTTGATTGCACGAAAGTCGTTTGCAAAGAGGGCCATGTTAGAATACATGATATAAACGTCTCCTAGACAAGGTTATGGCTTTCAACCTTGTGAGAACAAATTGAATACTTTTTCTAATCACTTGAATTTATAATCATGATATAGATTGTTACCAAGTTGTTCTCTTCCCACCTGCTAATATAGATTATAAGAACATATTTACATCTATATTTATGATGTATGCTTTACAAATATTTTATCGAACTTTCATTGATTTAAATTTGTTACATAGGTCTTTCAATTGTAAAACTAAATAGAAATTCACACAAACATGTTGATAAGATACTTGGTATTGCTGAAGATCTTAGATGAATCGAATAAAACATTTTTATAGTCCTCTTCAGTTTATTTTAGTGACGTCGAGCACTAGACAAATATTATATCTTAAACGTACAGAGAAGAAAGAAAAAAGAAAGAAAAAGAGTGTAAGACAAGCAACGACCATAACAACAATAACAACAACACCTGTAGAATTTCTCGTCTTTCTTTTTTCATCGTCGAATAAAAGTGGAGTAGTAACAGATCACAATCGATCGGCTGAGTTTCTGTAAGAAAAATTTCGTCAATGCATCAACAAAAAAGCAACCAAAACAACAGGAAGCATTAGAGCTCTACCAATAGATGCATGTGCCCCATTGATTGTTTCAAAATTTTGTCTCGTTCTCCCTTCTTTTCATTTCTGTCGACTTCAGATATGAAAAAAGAAAGACGAGCGTTTTTCTATTACCCGATTGTTGTTTCGGGTGTCAAGACGCCCACTGTTTGTTGTTGTAACTCATTGGTAACAAATGAAGCAGGAGTGAGGTAAAAGATGAGAAGCATTTATGTGAATAACTTATGCGTGTGTGAGAGAGAGAGAGAAAAAGAAAGAGAGAGAGTTTGTGAAAAACAGCTTCATTTGTATGTATTTTTAATCATCCATTATAAATCATTTTTATTGACAGACTCTGACACCTTTAATATTCTTTATGTAAATTTTCTTCTAGACAAAGTCAGCAAGATGGTATTCACGTTAACAAAACCACGAGGCCCAATTTCGGCCATGCATTCGACACCAGGCCCAGTTTATCTATTGCCGGGTCTTGTCGGAAGTAGTTTTCATGATCCACGTTCGGTGCATACAAAACAACCGGCATATTCATTCGGTCTTAGACATGGTAAATATAGAGAGGATGCATCACCTGGTCCATGTTACTTTCCAAATCCAAAAATCTTTCGAACTGGTAAAGACGGTACACCACATTATTCACTCTATGCTCGACGTGGTGATCTTAAAGGCGATTTAAACCCTGGTAAGAGAAAAACAGACAAAAAGAAGAATATTAAAATGACCCAAGTTTCATACGATCTCGATTAGGACCTGGTGCTTATAAACCCGAAGAAAAAGGACCAATGAGAACTGTATTTCAATCACCACCTGCATATACATTTGGTTCTCGTCATAAATACTATGGACTTGATAATACACCTGGTATGATTCTAAAGTTTTATTATTTTTAGATGCAACTCAACATTTTTCTTCTAGCACCAAATGCTTATGCTTTGCCCGGAATGCTTGGTAAGACGGTACAAAGTGTAAAGAAACAAGCACCAATATATACAATGACCGGAAGAAGCAAACGAGGTGGCTTTGACGAAGATCTACAACGAACACCAGGACCTGGTAATTCATTATTCGTTTTTAAAAAATTTTCTTTCTCTCAAAATTTAGTTTTTTTTCTTTTTTTTTAGGTGCTTATAATGTAATAAAATCAGGTGTATATAAACAAGAACCACCACATTATAGCATGACAGCCCGAAATGAAATGCCAGGTGATACAACTCAAAAACCGGGACCTGGTAAATATTCACCAGAAAAAGTTTGGATTCATAAACAACAAGCACCTGGCTATTCATTTGGTATTCGACACTCAATGTATGAAGCACCACTTATTGTTGAAGTGAAAGACTAAATTCATCGATACAGCTATCTTGTCTATCATTGTACTTTCATATTTTCTTCCTGAACTAAAGAAAAACGACAATGATCTCAATCTATATTTGTGGCTTGTACAATCGTTCTTTTTTATTTTATTTTATTTTATTTTATATATTGATTGATAATGACTGACGCTGATGTGATATTGCGAAACGTATAAATATCTATAAGCCGTCATGAAAAAGGCTTTACTATTTTTTTTTCTTTTTTTCTAAAGAGAAGAGAACGTAAACAAAAGAAAATACACCATCTAAGCCAGAAGTGTCGAGAATATTCTTTATTAAATTATTTTCTCTTGCACGTTACATAAACGTGAAGAGCTCTTCAAACAGGAGAAAAAATAATAATGAATGTAATTGACCTTGGAAAAGCATTAGTTAAATATTCCTTTAGGTACTTGAACGGCTTCTGCTTCGATTGAGTTTATGTTTGTACTTTTAGTAAAAGAACTCTTTTGTTCTCACGTAATAACAAAAAAAGAACTGTGTTTTTCTCATTTCCAGAGTTCCTTCAAAAATCACTACAATGAATATACGAATCATATAGATGTTTGCTCATTAGCTATGAAATAATATATTCTAAATTCGAAAGATTTTATATGGATGCATATTTACATTCAACATGTGTTGTTATGTGGTCTTCACACTGCAGTAATTTCATTCAAGACGCTGTTTCTTATAGAATGAAAAGAAAAATATGTAAATAAACATACATGTATGTAATAGAAGTTTTGTTCGCATTGCAAATCAAAACTTTTCAAAGAGAATAAAATTATCATTTTATGAAATTAAGAATACATATAAAATGAAATAGGTTATTCTCCAATGTAAACAATTTATCTCTATCATTCATATTATGAACTTATCATTTTTACCACATATTTATTGTTTTTGTTTTATTTGAATAAAATACTGCAGTAATATAGAAAACCAATTTTTAAAGAATGAGATATCGAATATTTTTATCAACGTTGTGTTATGATTTACGTTAGTTTAGGAACAGTATATGTTGTATTTTGTTTCAATAATAATGGTTTAGATGCTTTAGTTACACATATTCAGACTTACAATATATATGATATCTGTTTGATATCGATATTTTATGAAAAAAACGAGTAAAATGAATAATTTTTAAAGGTTAAGATTATACGTTACGCAATTTTAATGTAGCAACTTAAATGAAAGAGAAAAAGAACTTTCCTGTATAATGATTCGAAACGTATAATGCAAAACAATTGCTAACCGATGAACGTAATGAATTATTAGATGGCAGGAAAGAATATTCAAGGATTTACGATTAAGTTAATAGAAAATAAAATAATGATCTTTTCTTTTTGAATTAATACAGGGACAAGTTTTCTTATCACAAATTTATACTAGTATATCGCTACTATTCTTAAAAAATATAGTTATCATGTAACATCTCTTTTTTTTGGTACTCTGAGTAATCACGAATCTTGATACTAGTTACAAACAATAAAACATCAACTAGACAATACATATGAATAGAACATTATGGTAAAGAAAAACATTAGCGACCGATACTTATACAAATAGATTTTATTCCTAATTTATATTCATTCATAGATTATTTTCTTTTATGAAACACGATCTAAAACGAGTGTTGAAGTATATACGGTAGAAGTTTGTATCCATTGCCTGTCAACACAGACCGTGACACACTATATATATCAATAACAGTTCGTTGCAATATATTGACTACTTCGTTATTGTATTTCTGAAGGGTTAAGTAAAACGAAGAGTGTAGAAACGTGTCCCAAGAAAGACAGAATAAAATGATCTTCCTGAGATTAGTAATAGCAACTATATGGTGTTTCACATTTTGATCACACAGTGATTGCTCTATTTTTTTTTTTGTATATTGATCAAGTTATATTAAAATCTAAATAGTGCAACGTTTTTTTGGTGTCTAATAGATTGTTGCTGTAGGATCAAACATATTGGCTTGAAAATTACTTCACAGAAGCATTGATAACCATTCATTTGTTATCTTTTATTCTCATCAAGTTAGTAAAAATATATGGAAAGTTAACATTTAATTCAATCAATTTATAAAGAAAAATATTTAATATTTTATGTGTATAAAAGAACAAACGATCCTTTTACCTATTCAAGATAAATAAGAAAAAAAAGGTTAACAAGAATAAGATAGAAAAAAGAAGAAAACAAGGCAATATATATTTTTTCAAACACTTCTTAATCGTTCAGTATATGAAAACGATGATGTGTTTAATGGTTTTCCATTTGTATATATATTTGAAAAAGATGGTGAACTATCAATAACAATTGATGTTAATAATTGATAACGTTGATTAAAATTACTACTTGATGATGATGAATAAAGACCATTACGACGATAAAAAACTGATCGAATTTTAGATCGTAATGTTTTTCGATAAAATATCAATAAACACAATAATAACATTGAACCTATTAAAATAATCATTATCGTTGAATCTGTATGTGTTCGTCGATAATGCATTGTACTTTTCACTTGATTAATTGCTCTATAAAATATTTTGAAAAATGAATTTTTATAATAAAGTAAAAATACACTAAACCTTAATGGAAGAAAACGAGTTTTGTAAAGAATAGCACCTAATGTCCATTGAACATCATTATTATTAACTAATGAAGCTGAACGCAAACGTTGATAGTTAACAGGAAATTTAAGACCATCGTGAAGGAATGCGTACAGCCAAGCAGATTTAAAACATTGTAATCTAAATATAGAATTTAATTAATTATTCGATTTTTCTAGAAAATAAACAAAATAACAAAACTCTTACAATACGCGATTTAAATCAGCTTTGGGAAATAATTTATTTGAATACCATTGTCGAATATCTGCCCATTTTGCATTACAATAATTCTAATAAGAAAAATATTAATTTGTGTTTTTGCCTTTATTTTATTTTATTTTATTTTACTTACATTTGAAGCATTTAGAAAAGCTAAACGTGTATAAGGTCCACCGATTTTTAAAACATCTTAAAAATAAAATAACAATAATTTATAATAAATAATTTATATTTTCTTTTGATCAAACCTTCCATTGTATACCAAAACTCTGAGAAACCATAGAAATCTTGTGATTCATAATTAATTTTGGGTTGATAAATTCCATTAAGTGAACATGGTTTTCGTTTACATGTTGCATTTAAATTAAGTAATGTAACTAAATGTTTAGCACAACTATGAAAATCACCTTCACCTATTATTGTTATTGTTTTATTATTTCGTGTATAATTTGCTGCATAACCGTGAGGCAAACAATCAGCATCATCAATTAGAATATGAGATGAGTTCGGTGTCGAAGAACTAAAATATTTTTTTTCATATACATATATAAATATATTATTTCAATTAAATTTACTTAAGAGCTATTGAAATAATTCGTTGAATATATTTTTCAAATGCTTTATTTGCACCGTAACCAAGAAATGTTGTAACATATATTCTATATTTAAAACCTTCTTGATTTTCATCATAACCCAAAGAAAATTCTGCTATTTCTTCACCTTCGATTGGTGTCTGAAAAGGAATTGATGAATACTCGTGTAGAACCCATAGACAAAAAGAAGACAAACTTACATCTGATGAAACTTCGACTATAAAAAAAAATCAAGAAGAAATATAAATATTCTGTATTCGTTTTTTTTTTAATTTTCATTAACAAATTAGAATAACTTACAAGCTATTTGAGCTGATGCACCACCCATGTCAAGAATACCAACAGTTGATGGTCGTTTTTTTGAGATAGATAACGTTTGACCATTACTTACCGATACTACATATTAAATGAACAAAATCAAGATAATTACTCTTTAAAAATTCAATTATATGAATCTTACTTGAATCGGTACTATTACTTTGGAAACGACCAAGTACATAATTAATTGCTATCCAACTATAAATACCTTCTAACTTTCCAGGAATAACTTGAATATGAGTTTTTTCAATCAGAAAATTATAATCTCGAACAATATCATTAAATAAATCTTCAAGTAATTTTTTTTGTTCACTAAATATATAGATATATACACATAGAAACATCATACTTAATTATTCATACTTTGGTGTCAGAAAACGAAGACCAGCTGTTGCAAGTATATATACTTAAGAAAACAAAAAAAGAATAAACAAAAGAATGAAATGTACCTATTAAACTTACATGGAGTGTCACGATGTTTATCTGGTGGAACAATTTCTGCAGCAAAATCTAAAAAAATATCTTCTAATATATCCAAATTTATACATGAAAATATTTTACCTAATAATGATTTCAAATATTCTGTTGCATTTTCTGGTGTTTTTGCCATTGTTGACAGACCTAATAGAAAAAAAAAACCAAATTATTACATTGATTTACAACAAAAATAAATAAATGAATCTAACCTGGTTCAAGTTTCTTTACAATTGGTTTGCCTTCTTTATCAAGTAACTGTTTTATTTGTAATAATTCATTTTCTTTTCCTGAATGTTCTGGCCATATATAAATATAAAGTCTTGATCCACTACTTCCACAATCAATAACTATACCATAATGTATATTGGGGTCTTCATTACCAATTCTTTTTGGTACATAAACACCACCTGCATCACCACCTTGAATTATTTCTCGACTTTTTATTAAACCTTTGGAATCGATTGTTTCAATTACTGCTGGATTTGCCTACAAACAAAAAAAAACATAATAACATAAAAGAAAATATGTTTTCTTATTGGCAAATATTAATCATCTATTATTTATTAGTATAGTTTCTTATTAAAAGGAGTAATTATCATTTAAATATCCTTGAAATTTGTCTCGTTTACATGATAAGTTCTGTCTTAATATATGAATAAACAAAAAATAGAAAAAAATCAAACCATTCAAGATGAATTCAATTGTAATTGATGAATTCAAACAATTTATATGTATATGTTAATATTCATTGGCAAAGTAAATTATCAAATATTAATGTATACCTTTAGTTGTAATACACTTTTGATAAAGAGTTTGTTTTTTACAACGATTGTAGTGACTGAAAAACGAAATATTCAATATTTACTCTGATTTTCAAAAGTTCAAAAAAAACCTCATGTTTACAGTATCCGATAACTCTTCAAGCATATTCTGATAATGTACCATGAAAATTATTAATCTCTCAAAATTTTTATACTTTTTGAAACAAATAAATAATGAATACCCACATATCATGTACCTTTCAAAACTGCAATTACTATTTATCAAATTTTCTTTTCATTAATTTTATTCCTAACAAAATATTTCATATAGATACAAGTCATTCTATATCTAGATGGAATAGACTAAACTATATATGACTAGATCGATTTTTGATTAAGGTCATGTTTAAGAATCGTATTCTATGTAAACTATCAATATTGATTTTAATTCTATTTACTAATAGTTGACATGTACTATAATCAAATCAGCCAAACTTTATTCTTGTAGTTTTAACAGTTATATTTAAAAAAGAACGAAAAATGAAAATAAGAAACATACTGGACTTAGCATTAACCAAATGAGAAAACAGCTCAGTAACAAAGCTACTGTCATAACCAAAAAGCCTGGATTGCAAGAATAACACTGCAACGACGTCATCCATCAGCGCATCTAAAAAATATGAAATAATACATTCTTTGAATCTTCTAAACCAATTCAGATGATTCATTAATACTTATATCTTACTAAGAATGAAGACTATTATTTGATCTAATATTTGAAGTAGAAAAAATTGTACTATGCTAGACAGTATGTCACATCGTCCTTTTTCTCCTTCTCTTCATGTTGATTTGCAATTAGACAAACATATTAACCAATCAAAATGTATTTAGTGCTTTTTCAAAAACGTGTCAGGCCAGAGGTCCATACTGGACGTGTAATAAATATATAAAAACAATTTGTATGTGCATATTTCTGTGGATACGAATTTCTAGATTAAACTTCCTCAACAAATGAAAGAAACATTAAAAAATAATTAAATTTAACAAAAGAGTAGAATGAAAAACTTGGCTTAAATTTAAGCCGATGAAAATATATTGACGCGGAATCTGTTCTGATCTTGTAGGCAGTATTACTTAAGTGATGAACATTTTGATTGTTTTAAGGAATCTAAGGTAGTCCATTTTATTTAACATGTAGTCTGATTAATAATGATCTCAGTTGTCAATCACAAAATGAACTTTTCCGATTTTTTTTTCTCGTGGAAATAAATACGATGACAAATGCGTCTAGTGTTGGCAGTCTATTAAAATTTGGGAAACAGCAATAAAGGTTTTGTATTGTGATTCGAGTAGCACATTCAATGACGCATCTTTTGGAAAAAAAGAGAAGCGTTTAATTATTTTTCTGAACATAATTACATATAAAACAAAACATGTCACGAAGCTTCTATCACACTCGATACATGGTATTTCCAACAACATTAAAATTCTTATGAATCTAGGTAACGTAAACAAGAAAGTAAGCAGACATACTGAAAAGAAACACATTTTAAATTCATCAAAGAATATTAATTTCCAATTATTCACAGAGATTTATAAAAACTTTGCTTCAATGTTTGCCAGCATGAACATGTTATGGAAAGTGATATTGTTTATTGAAAAACGACTGAAATCATGGAAATATCTTTCCTGCTAAATTATCTCGACCTAACCCGATCTTAAAACAACATTAGTATGACTTAGACTATAATGAAAGACCTATTAGAAAACATTTTGATTGCTTGAAAAATCAATGGCAATGCATGTATGCCAAAAAAACGTTTCCTCAAATTATCTTCATTTAAAACTTATTTCTTTTACAATAATTGATTTTTGAACTTTCATGATAAAACAACAATCAAAAGTATCTCAGTTTTGTGGACACATCATGATCATCTTCAGCTATTACTTTTGAAAAAAAAAGAACTCCAATCAATAAGAATGTTTGTAAATTATTTTTCATCATCAAAAAATCTACAAAAATAAAAGATTGTGACATTTATGTTCAATACTTAAATGCATGTACATGAAATTCTCTATGTTTGTAAGCTCATCAATAATTATTGTGACAAAGAAATTTCCAGTATAAAAGTTAAAATAAAATTATGTTTATATTTGATGACCAATTTGTTGCCGTCCTTTATTTTTTGAATATGGATAGTTTAGTGCCAGAGAAACGAAACAAGAATCAGATCAAAGACAAAAGAGGAAAGAGTACATCACACAACAAGATCAATCACACATCCAAGCAAACATAATATATGTCTGCCCAGAAGTATCAAGAAATTACAGAAATTGAAAATTGGAAGTTAAGAGTACAGAGGTATCAATACTAAGATCAACTAAAACAGATTACAGATATACACCTTTTTACAGCCGAAGTAAGACAAATCTATGATAGCATAATAAAAATTCTTATCTGCGCATACATTCAGTAGTGTAGTTGCTTTTTTAAAATAGTTATATTGCTTGTATTGAATGTCCTCAGATATAACCAATTCATTCTGGCATGTTATCCTTTATGAGGTAATCTCTTTGAAAAAAGCAACTTTTTTTAAAATTTCATTCATTTATATAAACTCGTATCAGAAGATGTACAGGGTGTCCCAAAAGT